ACACCTACTTTTTCGGTTAAGTTTTGGAAAGTAGGTGTTTGTATTTTTCTCATAGTTTCTGAATGAAAGAATGTGCAGACTGTAGGAACATCTCAGAACCTTTAGCACACTTTTCTCTTTAATCTGTGATATTCTAGATCTCTAGGCGTCTCATTACTCAAACATTATAAAACAAAATGCAAAAAAATCGTTACATTTCACTCCGGTAGCAGAGATGGCTGGCCAGAGCGATGCATGACGCTCACAGATGTATGTGCGAAGTTATACGGTGTAAGAGCGCACTCTTTAACCAAAGTGAACTGATTGTATACAGAATATGTTCAGCAAAAGAGCAGAACTGCAACAAAGTGCATTTTTAATAAGATAACTTTTTAATCAATGAATCACTCTAGCTTTTCATAGTATTCAAACATCATTTTCAAGAGCAAGTGACACACAGAGAAGGAACATGTACAGTTATATAAAAAAGACACAAAGAATAAAAACGTGATCCTCCTAGCGGTGGATCCACAAGGATTCCGTTTTCGTTACAGAAACACTTTTTTTTGCAGTGCATTATCGGAATTTTCGGACAAATAAGAGTTGAATATGTGCAAAATTTGCATTCTATAATCTGTGGTTCGGCAGAGATCAGTCCCTGACTTGTTCCAACGTATATCTACCACCACTGCGTATGAGTTGTTTGTGCAAGCTGAAACTTTTTGTGCAGATAGAACACACTTTGTTGTGCGGTAGAAAACCAAAAAAGGATTGAAAAATCTACTAGGTTTTGACCTCAACATGAATTTTGTCGATTTTGAGAAGCTTCGCGTTCATCACGTTTTGAACACAGAAACGTTTCGAAACTAGTTTTGTGCATGTGATGACGAGCTGAGAACGGCTGGAAATGAAAAAATACTTTTGACGTCTTTCAAGTTAACAATAGATTATGTCATTCCCCAGGTGAGAAATCAGTATTTTTGTCTAGCAGCCGATAGAGCCGATTTTCATCTCAGTCGCGAGACGAACTCTCCAGCTTTCAAATCAACATCTTAGTTTCGAATTCAGAAACAGTCCTGGCCGAAAATGACTGAAAACAAAAAACGTCATTTTTAGCTAGAAAATACCATGTCTAGTTGGAGAGTCACAGAAGCTCAACTTGCTTTTCGACACACTGTTGAAGGTGCATAAAAGTGCACTTTCGATATTTTTGCATTATACAGTTATAGGTATGCATAGATATATTGTGACAGTAACGATGATGACGTACAACACATAATGCATACATCTTGACATATCGGAGTTTATTATTGCCAATCAAATAATTCCTTAATGCAAGGGACTATAGTGGCATAATGGTTTATTCAGATATCCTTTAAATTAAAAGGTATATGCATAAAATGTTCATCCATTCATAAAACAGATGAGTCCTATGCTATTTGAAACGTTAAACAATATCAGATCGTTCTCTCGGGTGAAGATTTAATGGTTAGTTTCAATAAATTTCTTCAAGAAGGAAGACACATTCGTCTTCTGGACAAGACACATTAAAAACATTTTTCGTTCCTGTCGAGAATTGAAGTCGGTCTGTTCGCCTACCAGGCGAACGTGCATGTTCACCACTGAACCATATAGGCACATTATTTATTAGTCTTATTGACCTCTTACATGGACGTTTCATATGAGACATTAAAAACCTAATAGTGTCGCATGGAAGGCGGGAAGATATGAATACTAAGGGAGCATTGCAAAATATATTCCGGACAGCCAGTCGCTATTCCGCTATTCCTTCATTCCTTTCTTCCTTCATTCCTGCCTTCCTCTATTCCTCTCTTCTTATATTCCTCGACTATTCCTCTATTCCTTCATTCCTTTCTTCCTTCATTCCTGCCTTCCTCTATTCCTCTCTTCTTATATTCCTCGACTATTCCTCTATTCCTTCATTCCTTCCTTCCTATATTCCGTTGTTCCTCGACTATTCCTCTATTCCCTTATTCCTTTCTTCCTCTATATAAACATGTTATTTTGTGCTACTTTTTTCGTACAAAGCTGAACCTGTTTTTTTGATTTTACTGCTTCAAAGATAATTGACCGCTCTCTTTGAAAGTATTATTCATTTATCAAGCTATCAACCAACTGTACATCTAAATCAAAAATGTACGTAATATATACATTCTAGTGCCAAACTATTTGGATGTTCATATATAATAAAATTTTTCTCGCTTTAAATGCAATTGCATCATGTTTTTTTATGAATAGTCTTGAATAACGCAAATTACCGATATATATATATTAGTCTTTATTTTATTTGCATACATATGCTTTGAAAGGGTGGAAAAAAACTATCATTAGAATGTTACGTAACTTCTCGCTAACATTCAGGAGAAAGCTCACGTTTTCTAGTATTTCGTTGTTTTGATTCAGACTTTGATTTCGAAGACGATGAATGTTTTCGTTTTTTAATTGATAATACGTCTGACCGATGTACCCACACCATATGGCGGTCTTCATCAGCTTTGGACGAAAATATATATGGTAATTTACATTTTAAACAGCGTTTCGTTGCTCCTGATGGTAATTGCTGGCCTGGTACAACATTTTCTTCACCAGCAAGTATTGAATGTGTTCGTTGTAAGAATGTGTCATAATGGTATTTGCTAAATGTCATTTGTGGCCATGGTAAATAATCTCCACTTGATCGGAGAAGTTGAACTGTTTTTGTTGCTCTTACTGGATGTCGTGTACAATGAATGCATGTTGAATCTCTACATTTGATGAATGATACATAATATGATGATCTAACACAATGGCGAAGATATAATCGAAGATTAAATCGCACATTATCGTTCTCCTGACTCATTACGTGTTTAATAGAACTTTTCATTAATTTATCTTTTAGTTCTTGATGACCATCAAATGAATTTCCATTAACAGAAAACACCGGTCTACTGTTACTAGTAATAGGAATACATGGAAGATTACTGTTACCAGTAACAGTATATACAATATATACAATATTTGTATTACTGGTAATAGTAATGTGCCAGCCCTATTCGTAACAAAAAGTGAGGGATGTTTGGAACGAGTTTCAGTGTCTATTTTTTGACATAGAAAATGACGCATTTATACAGTATAGTGAGACGAGTGACGACACAGGAGTAAGTGGTAGACGTTACAGATAGTTGGCGTGAGTGAGTGCTGTTGTGTTGAGGCTGGTATCTCGAACATGATTGTGTGTGTGTGTGATACAATTCACGAGTGAAGTCGATTTTTACGAATTTGCGTACTATTTATAATAGCCCGCCTTAACAAGATTCTAGATGAACTGTCAAAACTGAGTGACGCGATGAATATTTCAAACCGACTGATTTTCAAAGTAGAGGTTCATGCATTTAAAACATGTCAGGTCGCAGATCAAATTTATGATCATTAGGCTACGTTTAGATTACAAATTTTTCAGAGTTAACTTTGAGAGCGTTTACATTACAAATCTTTAAGAGATCAATAAGATTTAGACATTTCCACTTTAATTGTGTCGCTCGCCTATTTCAATACTAGCAAAATTTGCGGTTGCTACAACCTTATACCTTGAATCTGCGTTCTGCAGTTGCCTTTCTAAGCTCATACAGAGAAATGAGTAGAGAATTCGGTGTTTGTTTCCTTACCACAGCGTTGGTGCCGCCTACTTTTTAACATCAACATCATCTTTTTGGACATTTTGTGTAAGAAAATCTGATGAATCATCGATATTCTGTTGTATCAAATGTAAGACTGTACCGATCATGCTCAACACTGAACAAAATACTATGGGATTTTCGTTTTGTACAACATTGTCGTTCCAAATAGGTTCAGCATATTCGGAAGAGTCATTGTTATTCAACAATAATTCTCGAAATGTTTTCCAATCTTCCATTTTTTCCGCATCAAACCGTCTTAAGACAGATAAGATATCAAGTGCTTCGCTTAACTCTTTATCTTGATTTTTAATCTCCGTGAATAGACCAATCCAATCTTCTTTCAGTGTACGATAATCGTTGATCGGAGGTAAAACGTCTTTTACTTTCAGATCATTTATATAATTTTGTTTATTTAATTTGAATGTATCAAACAGTGGTTGTTGATTTTGAGCCGTATACATGTGTGTTTCGATTATTTCATCGAGTTTTACTTCATTAAGAAGAATTTGTTTAGCTTTTTCCAAAGTTTCAGGCGTATATGGTTCAAAAATATTGAATTCATCAATAAAATAGTGCGTACATTTACTAGAATTCAATATATCTACGGCATATTTAATCCATTTTTGAGCAAGACTTAGTGATGTTTCTTGTAAATCGTTGAGATTCATTGTTTCACACATCCATTAAAATTAAATTCAAAATATAAAAGACATTGACATAATGATCGTTGAAGGAATAGTAGATAACAAAAATTCTCTTATTCCATCAGGTCTATCTAGTTTTCCTCAGATTGAATCCATAGGTGTTACGCCAAATGGTACTAATCAGTTTCAATCAGAGATAAATCGAAACGGTATTCTATGCATCGATGGTATGGCTATGAAAAAAAAGTATCGTCAAATAGAAAAAACTGTAAACGTTGGTATATATGAGGCCAGATTCGACTGCCATACAAATGATGATTCGTCGAATACGAGTGTTCAAGTTACTCATCAAATCTAATGGATCGATCATGCAAAACAATTTGAAAACGTAATAAAAATAGCGTCACAACAACGAAATCTATCAAATTTTTCTCAATTGAAAATTGATTATCGTAAATTTTATATGAATATTCGATTTTTTCTTGATCGTGCTATTTCAATTTATTCTGAATTTTCTTTATTGCCTGTTGAGAAAGACATTCAAGATGTATACATTTTAGCTGGTCGATGTTACGATTACCAACTGCCACAGGTACTTTTAGTCAGATCATTGGCATTACTCGACTTTTATGATAAAGATAAACATATTGCAAATACAACATTGTCAATAGATAATGCTAAATAGATTGAAAAAGGGATGCCAACAGATTCCGATTTTGTACCAGTGTTGCAATTAAAATTTTGGCCAGTTGATGTTCAACCGTTTTTTGAACGAATAAATTGAAAATTCATCTCTTCCAGTGGCAAATAATTGTTATCAGTTGGTGTAGCACGTATTGAAATATCACGAATAGCACGAAATTCGCCGCAATTATTTAAATGTTCATTTTCCAAACGGAAAAAATTCCAAATAAATCGTCGAATTACTTCAACTATACCAAAAGCAAATCCGATGATATCGGCATATTCGGCAGATGGTGTGCGAAAATAAATAAATACATTAATGACCCAAATGTATCGCAAAATGAAATCTTTAATAATGGCAGCATAATAGTAGATTTTCGATGGATAGACGATTTGTTCACGTAGATATTTATTTTCATTAGCATTCTTATCGAAAAAACCCCAGTCCATTTTGAGATCCCAGATGAATTTGTATGTTGCACCGATGAACGACGTCACAAACCATAGGTAAAGGTATCGATTTACTATTTTATTGTTATTATAATGAAGATTGGTGGCGCGTCGAATCGTATTTGTTACAGCTGTGAAGAAACCACTTGCATATTTGCCGGCATTTGCAAGATGGGGAAATTTATGTTTAGTATCACGGTATCGCCGTAGACATTGTGCAAAACGAAACCAGGATGGTAGGAGAATAAAAAATGTTTGTAAGAAATATTGTGACCATTAAATTTTCATTTTATTCAGAAAATCGCCATAGAATTTCCAAAAATATCAAAATTCGGCGTCGATTTTATAAATACTGGAAATTCGAGTTTGATTTTCTAATATTCTAGAAAATCAATCGATTTTCTAT